CACTTTGAGTGAACTTTAAGAAGACTCTTTTTAAAATTGGTAAGATTGTACTATGATTTCTTATTGCGCCAAAGACATACCGTTGCAATAGAGCCTGATAATTTTTTGTAGCCTAAAGGTTTTAAAAGTATGTCGTTTGCTATTTTTATATACCGCAGCAGAACCCAAACTTCTATATGATATAAGCAAAGCTTAAACCGGCATTAGTTAATTTTCAGGAAGTGGAACAAAGCTATTGCTAAGCACCAGAGAATTTAAAAGTAATTAAAATATAAAAACACATCTGTACCTTGTCCCCTGGAATTCCTTAAGTTGCATGTGCTAATTTTCACTAATAGCTGTTCACATTTTTTGGTGAACCTAAATTCATTTAAATATCACAAATAGCATTATTAAGCGAATTAGTCTATCAATTAACAGATAATAATACACCATATTTGTCTCGAAGCTGCAATGATATAGTTCAAGACTACTCGAAACTGAGCGCTCAAATGCTATTCAAGATGTTTCCTTTTTTTGAATTCCTTTAAATGGAGGCCTCTTACTCATATATTATAGTTACAGAGCCAACTTATTTGAGTTCTTGGCTCAAAATCGTGCATCAAAGTTAGGTTTCATTTATTAAGGAGCAATTAAATAGGATAAATAGATACAATCAAATAGAAGCAGCTTATTTTTTCCAATCTGGTGATCATGGACCGATCACTTATCTGGAAGGCATACCTGACAGACTTAGATTCAGAGTCAAAGTTTAAGCATAAAATTCCTATAATCCATATAAGGCTTTCTGAAAAAGTTTTTAAAACAGATTATGTTTAATAAAAACTGATCACTTCTTTTATGTTATTGTCTGAAGGCTTATCTTCAAGCAACTATTTTGTCAGCCTCCGAATTGTTTTTTGGTACGTATTTAAATCGCCAGAGCTAAATTGATTGACTATTTTCTTTCTGTAACAATCCTCACAGACTCGAGGCTCAGATACAAGCTGATATACAACCGATCAACGTGGCTTGGCGAATTGATGACCGTGAGCTGGTGAAATCCGAACGACTCGAGATGTCTTACATTCAAGACACAGGACTCGCACGTTTAGTGATTCGTAAGGCTAGTAAGCCTGACTCTGGCGAATACACCTGCGTAGCTACTGGAGAAGTAGTGGAGCCAAGGACGGGAAGACGCCTCTCGAAGACAATCACTTCCAGCTCGACGGTCCTTATTGAAGGTAGCCATCAAGAGAATACTGCCAGCAATCATTTTTGTTATGTAGACGGAGGCCTTGAAGTAAATTATTTGTTTTTTTACAAGACGGTGTTGACAATTTAAAATGGCTATAGAAATTACCTATGCCAATAAGGATTAGTTAACTAATTAGCAATTTTATATATTTATATATTATTAATTATTAAAAATAATCTTTAATAATTAACCATTATTAATGTATTAAATAAATATTGGAGGATCTTGTTTCATAAAGATCCCCACTGCTTATTCAGGCTCTTATACACAAGATATCATGGTTAAGGATCTTTTAATCAAAGGGCATGCTTATGCTTATTCACCGTAAACTATTCTCTCTTGTTGCATTGAATTATTATAAAGAACTGAAGTAAGGCACAACTGACCGGCAGTTAGATTTGACCTTATAAATCAGCAAAGTTAATGGAAAAAAAAATTTGGTCATTGAGGCAAAATTCATTCTAAATATATATTAATTCATTTATATATATATATATATAAATTATAAAAACATCATGTTTTGACATTTTTAGTAATTTCAAAATATATCCTAAATGGGGCAGTAAAAGTATGTTTAAGTTTATTAAGTAAAAAGATCTGATATGAAATAGAAGGGTATTAAAATTGGTGGTGTGCAAGCTCAAATATATACATAGTAAGTGATAAAAAAATTATATAATCCCGTGACTTAATTAAAATAGCAACCCAAAAGGAGTATGATCAAATTAAACATATTTTAGGTATAATGATAAAAATGAACATACAATGTAAATTATCGAGATATCAAGCATTAAAAATGGACACAATTGAATTAAAAATAATACAGATTGCTAAAAGCAGTTAGTTCAGGGATTAAAGTAATATGTGTCTACGTGAACTGATGTATAATGTTGTTAAGAGAGAAATTCTAAGACAAATCTCAATATTCTATTCAATTCCTTGTGAAAGTAGTAAGGCCTACTTTAGGTTAGAAATAGAAATAAAATACGAGACATAAGTAATTATTTGGATAAAAGTTATTAATCATTCAAAAAATTATCGATAAGAAATTAAATGTAAAGATGAAATAGAAATATATAAAATTAAATGAATTCTATTTCAAAATTTCTACCAAAAGCTACACCGACCTACAAAGCAGATATAATCTTCATCAAGCCGGTTGAAGTGAACTTGAAAAGAGAACAAGAAGAGCAGATTCTCGAGTAAGTTCATGAAACTTTATATTGCTTTATATTCTCTTGCATTAAGGATATATTTTTTATGCCCATATACGATAATGGCCGGATCCGTAGTGATGGCATCTTTCAATCCCTCCTCTGACATTAATAGGCTAGAAGCCCAGATTCTGGCAGATATTCAACCCATTCAGGTGACCTGGATGCTGGGTGATCGAGAATTGGTGCAGTCGGATCGTGTAGAGATGACTTTCCTCGAGGACACTGGAGTTGCTCGACTTGTGATCCGAAAAGCCAGTCAACCCGACTCGGGTCAGTACACCTGCGTGGCTACAGGAGATGTGGTGGAACCAACGACAGGGAGACGACTCTCGAAGACCATCGCTTCGAGCTCAACTGTTATTGTCGAAGGTATATTTTGATAACTTCTAACTCTTTTTCAGAGTTCACATTTCCTAATTTTATCACGCTTGTGAAAAAGGGTTCGATTAGTTTCTCTCTAAAGATTGCTCTTCTACATTAAGCCCATATTTAGGAATACGTTTCATAAGATTTCCTGTATTATCTATGCACTCCTGAATTTTCAAGCAATATCCATGCATTTCTAACCAAAATATCCAACCATTGAATTCACCTGACCAAGCAACCCTATAGGAAATTTAACAATAAAGTTATCTATTTGCAGATCCCCTAATTTTTATGGATTTTCAATTAAACCACTTATTTTTTGAGTCCATGCTTGACTGATTGAACAAGCGTATTTCCGTACAAATGTGGCCAATTAAGTAGTAATCTTTTATAGTTGCGTAGAGTTATTCTGATATATATACCCGCAGAAATGTATTTTTTCGATACCGAAATGAAAATTACATGACGTTTATCGGTAGCTTGCAAGAGATTTTCACGATATCTTTTAGTTTGATATAATTTAATGCTTTTAATTTGATAGGTGGAGCTCCAAAATTGGTCCACCTAAGTATGGTTAATAGATTTAAATGATTTTATGGGCAGGTCGCAAGCATTCCAAGATAGTTCATATAGGTATTTCGTACGAAAGGTTGAATGCATTTTATTTGTTAGATAAGTCTCAAAAATACCTTAAGAAACGTTACCTATAATTTTGCAGACACTATATTGCAGCTTGTAAACGTGGCAATAAAAATATTGCTTCAGTAAATCTTTTGGATATGATGACTCTAAAAAAACCACACCTTATGATTAAAGTCGAGCTTATATGGGAAAAATTATTAAAAGCGAAGTACCATTAGATTATATTAAATGCAGTAAACTAAGGTATTTTGAGTTGAAATTTCATAAGAGACACAATATACAAATAAAAATCAGAAAGTATTTATAAATAGTCTATGAATTTATCATCGGATTTCACAGAGGCATGATAAATAGATAAAAATTGCAAATACTTATAGAATATCAATTGCAATTTTAAATGGTCAATGTGAAGGTGCCAACAAATATTAGATATAACGGGGGAGTTCAGTAAATATCAGAGTTAAAAGTTGAATATTTACATTTTTTTTAAATTTGGTTAAAAGGGTAAGATGAAAGAAAATGTAAAATTATGCGAAATAATATGCTAATTAGTGTATTCTATTTTATTGATTTTCTACACAGCTAC